CTATTTCAATTTGAAATTTTAATAATTAATTGATAAATTAAATAAGTAGAAGATAGTTTTAGTTAAATTAACGATGCGAATAAATATTTCTTTTTTGAACATTTAATGTTCGCATGTAATAATTTCATTCTAGTTTGTTTTTTGATATACAAAAGAATTTTATTTTATTCATAAATGCACGAAAAATTAACAACAGATAAATTTTATATAAAGTTTTGAAAAATTTAAACGAAATATCAACAACTAGATTGTTTAAGGAAAATATTTTGGAGAAAAAAAATTGTAGAGAATATTAGTGCTGTCAATTATAATTCATATTATAATGTACTACTCAGAACCACTGGATCAATTTGACACTGTTAAATCCAAAATTCTAGTAAATGAGCGACAATTTCTAAACGATATCTTCTGAGATGGTGAGAGTTTTGTTGAAATTAGTGAGACAACATGTCTCGCGCAAACACAACTTATGCACAAACAACTTTTATTAAACTAGACAACGATCAGATTTAGAAAATTCATCAATAAAAAAGAAATTCACATTATATCAATATTTGTTTAGAGTGAAAAGACTAGACCCAAATATAGTAAAATCATTGGGTACGTTTCCATAGCAACTGAGGACAAGAGACTCCTTTCTCACAGAGTTCCTTAGCAACAAAAAAAAGGCGCTGAATAGTATTAACAACAAGATTTGAACTGTTCTAGAAGATTTCAAAATCGTCCTCGAAATTTGAATGGCTATAATATGTTTCTGAATATGGTCAATAGCGTAGTTTTTGATTCCTGCGCATATGAAATTCTATATAATGAGTAGTGATGCATTGATTTGCCATAGTTGTCATACGATCAACACAAAGAAAAAGTGCGAACTCTAAGTTTTCAAAATAATCAATATCAGTATTTATTGAGATATATAATAGTGCGTTGAGATCTATTGTAAATATCATGGATATTTATAGCACGTTTTATTTGCTAGTCAAAATGAAATACGAAACTGAAAAATAACGAACGAATAGCAACAAAGCAAACAAATAATAGAGCATCAGAAAAAAAAAAGAAAAAAAAATTCTGTTTGAAATTCAAAAGTAAATAAGAACAGATTGTTTTCTCTGGTGATCGATTATCCTTGGAAAACAACTATAGTTTGCTAAAGATTTTTCACTTTACATATTTTGTAATAGTATGATAAGGATAAAGAACATATATGAATCTTATATATATATATATTATTTCTAAAGGAGCTGTATTGACAAGTTTTCTTAAAAAACAATCAAAAATTCAAGGCAAACGTTAAAATTGTCCTTGTTAAAATTGAAGTTGTAACACTGTTTTTTGTTTATTTTTAAAGCAACCATCAATTTATAGGAGTAATGACTGATGCCCTTTTTGAATCTGTAGCTATTATTCATCAAAGAACTTTCCTAATCATTTGTACAAACATTTCTTAGGATAACTGTTTAAACGTATTACTGTTTTATGCTGAGCTATTGAATTCATCATTGAGTTGATATGAAAACTGAATACTACAAAATTAGTTCTATAAAATTTTCTGTAGTTAGTTCTACTTGACAATCAATATCCGATAAAAATGAATATCTTGTCAATAATTTTTTACTAAGAGAGAAGTCAGTAGAATGATATTTAGAAAGAAATTTTATTTAAGATTTTTGTACCTTTTGAATCTTTAATATGAGATACTTGTACGGATGCTCTTGGTGTTTCTTCATCATTATTAATTTCTTCAGATACATATGTATTATAAGTTCGTCTTAATGATGGTGAATATGATTCAAGATAAGTATTTAATAAATCTAAACTTAATATATGTTTAATATGTTGAATTGCTCGTAAAAGAATATTATTATAATTTGAACGAAATCTATTATCTTGTAAATATTGAATTAATATTTCAAATATTGGTGATATATTTTCACGATAATGATTTTTATTTAATAAATCATTTAAAATTTCAATAGATTTAATACATATTCGAATATTTGGAGATTTTAAACCATCATGTAGATATATATGTAAAAATGTTGAAATATCATTTGTTGTATTAATTTGTTTAATTAAAAATTGTGTTGTTAATATTTGAACATCATTTGATGTCGATGAAAAACATTGAATAATTGCTAAAGAAAATTTTAATATATAGAAAAAAAAAAATAATGCATATTAAAAATTTATTAACCTGGAAGATAAATTCGTTGATCATAGTGATGAATATTTGTTTGAAGTTCAGTTAAAAATTTTAAACAATTATATTGATATTCAGTATTTGTTGTTTGTTGAAGTGTATTTACAAGTGATAATAAAATATCATATCTTTGTGAAACATCAAGGATATTTAATAAACGATTATGTCGTGAATTTTTACACCATCGATTAACAATTTGAATTTTATTTTCATTATTTTGATGGCCATGTAAAAGTATATCAACTAATTGACTATCAACCATAGTTAAATCATTTTTAGGTAAAAGAAATGGATTTGTTGATGATGATGAACCGGAACCATTTGACATTGTGTGAAGTGATGAGGCTATAGTCATTGAAGACAATAATAAAACGTGAAGAATCTTTAAAAAAGAAATTCTTTTATAATTTTTATAATGATGTCTGACGACATGTCGTTAATGTTATTTTACTTCTGTGAAGCTCGTTTCTCATGTTTATTTTACAAACAAGGAAAAAAAAAATCGAAGAATTCGTAATATATAACCTTGAATAGAGTTTATTAAATAGAATTAAAATATTCTAAATTCTTATGATTTAGAAAAAAATTTCAATAAAACTAACTCTTTTAAATTCAAGTCATAATAATGATATTAACTGTTTATTTCATTAAATGCTTAACGACATGACAGATGTTTCATTTCATAGTAACTGTTGCTATTGCCACAAAAAAGAATTATATTTATTATTCTTTCTTTCTTTTTTTTATTTTATTTTAAAAACTTATTTAGATTAAATTAAATTAAATTAAATATAGATAAGAATAATTAAAGATGAAATTGACAACTGGTGACCTCTACTTTATTGTTTTTTACAAGCAAACCATCCTGTTACCATCGGTTTTGGATAACCAGATTCGACACGTTTAGTTTTTGTATCATAAACATATACATTTTGATCAGGTTCAGTAAAAAAATAATGTTTTCCATCATATGTAAATGCTGTTCGAACATTTTTTGGTATACCAGGAAATTGTTCATCAATACGTTTTGGTGGTGAATCAAATTCATATCGAAGATCATTTTCATCAAATTTAAAAAGTATACCACCTTTTAAAAGCCACATATGACCTTTTTCATAAAGAGCAGCTATTGGATTAAATCTAATCAAATAAATTCGATTAGAAAATTGATTTGAATATATCAATAAATACTTACGGAGTACCAGTACCATAAAGTCGTTTAGGAAAACCACTATCAAGTGAATTTGGAGAAGAGTATCGCCATACACGATAACCTTTAAATAGATATATTTTTCTTGTTTTTGGAGAAAAAATACCAGCCATCATATGTGGTTCAGCACCCTGAAAGATTTCAGTTATTGGTATTCCACGTGTATCCCAACGATCAAAATCAGGATGATAACGCCAAACATGAGCATAATCAAGTGTATATAACCATTTATCTGGACCACCACCAAATACAGCATCAAGATAACGTGCACATCGATCATGTGCTAGTGTCTGTTCTGTTGTGGTTTGTGGCTTTTTAGTTGTTGTTTTAGTGTGCTTACCACTCTTAGAAGTTGTGGTTTTTTTTTTCGTTGTTGTTTTAGCTGTCGTAGAAGCAAATGTTGTTGGTTTATTACTTGAATTTGCACCATATAATGCACGAATACCATCTCGATCCTAATATGAATAAAAATACAAAGAAAAAAAAAATTATTAAATATTTCTATAATGATTTATACATCTTTTGGAAGTAAATCTTGTGGTTGCATTAATTGATAAAATGGATACATTAATGCTTTTTGATCATATGAATGTGCTAAACCAAGTGCATGACCAATTTCATGTGAAGCAACCAAACGAAAATTAAAACCAGACTCAACATATCTATTTAGCATTATTTTTATAAAACCATTCATTTGTTATTATTATTATTCATATTCATTTTACTTACTGATCTATCCAATCTTCTGTTGAATCAAAATGTACTTTTCCATCTGTTGGAAAAAAAGCATGAGCAAGTGTACCACCTGCACCATCAAAAGGATAACCATCATCATGATCACCTGCGTGAAAACTAATACTAAATTCAGCTTTTTCATCATCAGTTGCTTCACGAAATTTTAATGGAGCATAACGAGCCCAATCATTAAATGCTTCTTGAATAAGTGATCGTGTTTTTTCTCTTCCAAATTTTGGTATTTCATTATTTAATCTCCATTTTAATGTTGTATTAGGCCTATATAAAACAAAAATATATGATATTAAATAATTTTAATGATTACCATGGTCGAAAAGCAGAATAAGCCATAGGATAATCTCCTAAACTACATCGAGGTTTATTCATTAACTTAATAGTCGCACTATCAAGTTCACCAGTAACAGGTAAACGAAAAACAGTTTGAAAATGTTCAATCATTGTTTCAAAACTTGATTGACATAATACTTCTTTTTTTTTTGTTTTTGTATTTTCAGGACCACCACATTGATTATAACCAAATTTTTCGAGATATTTCATTGCATCTACATTTGTTTGAACTGTTGGTGCTTTACGTGCTGTTTCCTTTGATGTCTTTTTTGCTGTACCTTTTACTGGTTTTCCATAAGAAAATGTAAACAAGAAGAATAAAAGAATAAAATAGTCTTTGACCATCATTGTTGTTTTTATTGCATTCAATAAAAAAATGATAGTCTGTATTTGTGTTACAAAGAAAAATAAGTCAACGAAAGAGTAAATCATTTGATAAGATTTAATACAAACTCATATTACAAAGAATAAACCAAAAAGAAAAAGCATTCATAATATCCAATTTCAAAGATTATCAATAAATACACCATATTTAGCTAGTTTATTAAGTTCAGTTTTATGTTCTTTAGTTGACATTTTTCCATTTGTTGTCCAATGTTGATCAACAGTAAAAAAGTAATATGGACCACCATAAACTAATGTTCGTCGTTGACCAGCACTAAAATCTTGACCATGTTCTATTTCAGCATAATCGCATAAATGCATTGGATGTTGATCAGTACATAACCATAAATACCATCCGATAGGATATTTTTGTTCAATAATAAATTTACGCATAAGTAAACTTCTTGGAATATTACCATCATCAACAACATAAGCACTTTCATCAGCTCGACATCCTGCTTGATAAGCAAGACGTGGAATTTGTTCAGCTTTAAGTTCATCAATCCATGCACCTGAAAAACATGTATCAGCAATAATTGTTAATGATGATATGTTATTGTATTCGTTGGCTATTGGACGAGAACGCCAAGCATTAATAATATCATGACAAGTTATTTCACCACCATATGAAAATCCCCAATTACCTGTATTATTTAATCCATGACCACACCAGTAAAGAACAAATGTTTTTCGTTCACCTTTGTTATCATTGGTATCAAGTTGAAAGAATTCATTTATTAAATTAAATGCTTCATTTCGAGAACTATGAAGACGTGTAGGAACACAACGCCAAATAGTTGCATTTGTTCGTTCAAAATAATCAGTTATTGCATGAAAATCTCGTTGCCATAGATGTTCTTCTAAGTAAACATCTTTTTTTGTGCGAAAGCGTTCGTCTCCACGACGACGTCGTTGAATAATTTGAACACCAGCACTATCATCATAAATAGAACCACCCAAGAGAAGAACTAATGTACGTTCAGTTTTACATTCTTTCTTGTTTTTATACACAGGCTTCCATGGCATCTTTTTTAAAACAAATCCATTCACAAATCAACAAAAAGAATTTCTTTTGAAATAACTCAGTATCAGGTTATTATATAGATTTTGTTCTTGCAAATATTGCGAAAGAAAACTTGCGTAAGATGTATGACGAATGTAACTGTAAAGGAAGAAAAACAAAAATTTTTATCGACATAATATAATCTATATGAAATCTTCTGAATTTCAACAAAACATAAGTAATGCAACGAATTTAACTATTACTATGATGATAATGATCATTCAGAATAATTTTTGATTTTTTCATTTAATGATTATGAACATTTTACATACAAATAGTCAACAAATATGATTCAATACAGTTTAAAAGGTGATTTTTACATTCATCACATGTCGTTCTCTTTTCAAACATTTCTTATTCATACAGACAAAAATGAGGTATGTTCAGATTGCCGAAAAAGGAACTTTCCGAAAATACCAAAATATATCTGATACCATCTCCAGACACTAATACTCATCAAGAGAAATTTCTATGAAACTTCTGTAATTACCATTTCATGAGAAAGAAATTTACATAATTACTGGAAATTTTTAGTAATTACGGAAATTTCTATAATTTCTTTACACATATCATATAGATATGATGAGATACATATATATTTAAGAAGCCGTACCCTAAAAAGTTGTAGAATTTTTGGTAATTTCCGTAATTACTAGGAATTTTTAGTAATTACAGAAATTTCTATAATTTCTTCTACTTTTTGGAGTAAGGGTCTTTAAATCTATATCTATCTCATGATAACTGTATGATAAAAAAAAAGGAATCATAGAAATTTCCGTAATTACTAGAATTTCCATATAATTACCGAAATCACCAAAAATTTTTCTTTTTTTTGGGCATAGGGCTCCTTAAATCTACATCTATCTTATTATATCGTATAGACATTATTTGAGAATTATAGAAATTTCTTGGTAATTTCGTCCGCTATGTGCTGGCATTTTTCGTGATTACTGATAAATGTGCTTTTATAGATTTGGTATTTACGGAAATTATCTGCTAATTTCCTTCTCTGGTATGAGTAATTACCGAAGTTTCCGGAAAATTTGTTTTCTGTTTTGAAGGTAATTTCTTTATTTGTGTTTATGTTTGTTTTTGAATAGGATGGAAGTAGTTACGGTAGTTTTTCATATTTTCGGAAATTTGCATTTTGTATGGTTGCGGTTCCAGAAATATGAATATTTAGCAGAGATATTCCCTTTTTTGGAAATCTGCCCACTGCTGTTTGGGACGGACAGTGAAATATTCAGCGGATCGATCATGTTGTCAGTGACTCAGGATAATTGCAGGGCACTTAGTTATCTCTCTGGATGACGACGAAACCATTCCAATCTGAAAGAAATTAGACAGAGAAAAAGCAAAAAGCTTCAGAAGAGCGATTCTGGTTGCCATGTGGACATAAATGTATAGAAAAATTTTCACTCATGACGGTAAGCATATCCATCTCACCCCACATCTTCAATCAGACTTTGTTTCATACTCAATGATAACAACAACAATGATGATGGCGAGATTGAAGAAAGATTCCTGTAGTCAAATCTCTGTTTTGAAAGGAACATGTCGAGAAAAAAAATTGAACATCATTCACTTGATAGTTGACAAACGATTCTGCAATCGAAAGTTGAATGTGACTGAAAAGTCTTCAGAGGAAGGAACAAGACGTCAGAAAAAATTTCGGCAGAGAGAACAAAAATCTGTTTCATCGTAGGAATAACTTGTTTACTCGTGAACAATCCTAGCCTTTGGCGTACTTGTAGCCACGCCACTATTTTCATAGAAGATCTTTTTCTTAAACTGGACATGTTTGTGTCAAAAATGATATTTGGAGATGAAAATCGAACAATTAAACCCTTGAGATGCACCGAAGTCATAGTTCAAAGTATAAATAAATGTGGCTGGCTATAGACTGAGACTTTGATTTGATCAAGTTGCGAACTTCTGTTAGCTGCTTAGAATAGAAATAGAAATAGAAATATCAAAAATAAAATTTGTTCTTGAAATTGTTCTAAATCGTCATTACATAGTGAATCGATGATTGATAATAATAATATTCATTTTTCGAATGACGGCACGAGCCTATTATATGCTTATATCACAAAAGCAATCGCTTGTTACTTTTATTACGATTTTTTCCTCTATAAAGATTACTTGTTCGGAAAGAAATTAAGTACTTAGGTAAGCGTTGAAGCAATATCGAATTTCTATTTAACGAAAGATTATGAAATGCGATTCTTCACTTTCGAGTAAATGCGAAAAATATTATCTATTCATTATATATATATATATAGATGGGTGCTGCCGCTATTCTGTCTCATTTCAACGTAAGCGATGGTTTCAACAGTAATTCATTGTATCATATACGTTCTATTCAGGTAATTCTAAAATCTATTTTTCCTAGTCGTCTAATCTTGAACAATCTTCCTTTTAAGCCTTGCAGGTTTAATTCTTGTTTTGTTTTACATGTCCTACTATTATTTTGTATGTCACTAGTTCGAGTGAAATCTCAATTATGCCAAGGAATATCTCAATATGATCGATGTTCGCCAAATAGTGCGTGTGTCTGTTTCTATTTAGCAGATGCTATTGACGTTGGCATTTGTGGCAATGAATTCGTAAATTGTCCTGAGTTAGTTCCATGTGAACGCTCAAATAACTTTTGTCGTGAACCTAACCATAGATGTGTTCATCATCCTCGATGTCATAATCTTCCTGTTTGTTATCCAATACCAAGTTTCAATCAACAGCTCTGTCCACCGATAGCAAGTAAGAAAACAAACAATGATCTATTTCTTCATCGTTCACACACCCTCATATATCCAGTTGATTTTGATGTAGAAGCAATGGGGAAGAGCCGAAGAGCCTTTTGAAAAAAAGTAGATAAAGTGTGGCAGAGACAAAATGAATTGTAATTATTGGAAAAAAAGTTTCTTCTCTTCTCATGGGCTGTATCCATCAATTTGAAATACAGAATCTATTGTATTTATATCTATTAATACATGGAGACGCAGTAAACTTTTGAATGTATACGAGAGACAGGAACAAATTGAACAATTGACCATTCGATTCAATTCAATTCTGTAGAACGTGTCATATGTTAGCATCTCCATAAGAGCACATCAGTTCTATTATGCCATGCCTCTCTTTATTCACCGTTTCCATTGTACACTCGACTGATTCTTGTGAATATTGAGTTCACCTAGCTGCCTTTTTTTCAAAACAACTATGATTGACATCTAGCTCAAAAGAAAATGCATTTTTTTTATTATTCTCTCTGTAATGTTTCTAATGATTCAACTTGTAAAATTGCAGACTGATCATTTGGATGCGACACAGTAATCTCTAGAGCTCAAGAGAGCTTTAGCGATTGAATGAGATCAATAGGTCACTAATGATTAGTAATTGAACTATGTATGCGAATTATTTTTTCACAGCTTGTTGCATCACAGACTGAGCTGTCTCAGTAAGATACTAACAAGCGTAGAGTGCATCTTCTCGGATCATCTTTGAAGACCCTCCTCAAAAATTGATCTCAGGTCAGAAACGCTCGAATGGCATGACATTTTCGGAATATGTTGAGGCTGTAATGGGAAGGCTATGGTGAAAGTTTCAGCCCTGTACCATGCCATTTCAGGGAGATATTGCCCAAACAAGGGTAAAAAAAATAGCTGATTTAGTCTCCAGCACTTCTCTGTCGTCTTCAGTCTATACATTAAATTTTTTTTGTTTGAAAGAGCATGTTAGGATGCAGTGTCTATGAGGGTTCTATTTTAAAACTCTTACTTTTTAAGGGAAAAAAAGGAATCGAAATTTTCAGTGACTTAAAAAACTCTCTAAAAATGGCGCTTGCATATGTAATACAAGCAGAGCTTAATTAAAAAATCGAGCTCTCATAGGCACTGCAGTTTTACACGCTCTTTCAAACAAAAAAAATTAAATGTATAGATTGAAGATCATAGTGAAGTGCTGGAGACGCGATCGAAAACCTATAAACCAAGAAAAAATGAAAAAAGAGATGTGGAGTAAAAATTTTTGTCATGTATGAGAGATCAGATCATGGGCTATCTTTCTCTGTATTTATCTTAATTTCGATCATTCTGACGAAAAGTGACTTTTTTTTGAAAGGGAAGGCCTGAAACGGCTACTTCTTTCGGAGACTATGTCTGAGTGTATCAAACATTTGGGATTCCTCTCTTAACAGAAGAATGTAAACATTAAAACTGTCTGATAGCGAGAGAGAGAGCTCGTAACAATTTATCTCTACACTATTCTTCTGTTCTTTCGAATATTCTTTTAAAGCAATTCCACTCACATTGCTGATATGACGACAGAATATTCTAATGTTCTAAGACGAACACACTGGGAGATAGGGAACTTGTGTGAGAGGTTGAAATTACAAACTTCATACTTCGAATAAAAATTTTGTACTGCAACAGCAATCAGTGCATTTAAATCTTTGCTCGTATTCAAAATACAACAGAAGTGATAAATTTGAGCAGGACGGTTTCGATGGATTCGATTCGATTTAATTTGATTCAGCCGAATCACATCGAATAGAATCGTCGAAAATTTTTCTGAGTTTTCGGTGTCTGATGAACACAAGGATTTTCTATCAAGAATCAGTTTTGAAAAAAAAAGCTCTTTTCAATATGTAGATAAAGTTATCACCAGATTCGAGTTTTTCCAGCCTGAATTCGCTCATGAACTTGTTTCAAATCTCCTATTCTTGTTCCAAGTAGAACTTGATGAGCTCTATCAATTGATATAATCAAACTTTTCATAACTCGAATTATAATTTTTAGGTTTTTGTACAGCACTATCTATGGTCCAAAAACCCATACTATGGGCTTTGGCAAAGCTGAGCATACCGTTCGATAGAGCTCGTCGAGTTTCACTTGGAACAAGAATAGGAGTTTTGGAACAAGTTCATGAGCGAATCCGGGCTGAAAAAACTTGAATCTGATGATAACTTCACCTGCGTCTTTTCAGGCCATTTCAGATCGGCGCTTTACTTTGAAACACTGCCTAGACTTCACCTAAAAACTTAAGTGTACCGAGTTCTATATTACATTCTATGTCAGACCTAAAATTATCTGCTTTTTTTACACAAATGTTCTATGATAATGGATAGCAACGAACACTACAACTGCAGCTGCAATTTCAACTACAGCTACAAGTGCAACTACAATCCCAACTACAACTACAATCACTACTCAGCAGTCAAGTAAATTTTAGATCATTGCTTTTTGATCTTAGTACATACTAATTTTTAATCAAGCGTATATACTCAGGCCGAAGATTACGGATTTTGTAGACGCCTATTAACGACCGTACACGGAGAAATACGATCGTATACCACAAAATATGAAGTAAAGCGGAGACTATGTACGAACTTCGTATACGAGGATCGTAAGCAGGGGTTTCTTTCTCCGTATACGGCCGTGCTTATTTGACCTGAATAGTTGCTCTGTATGCAATATTACTCTGCAGCTAGCTAAAGATTACATTGATAAGATCAACGATCTTATAGCATAAGTAGTTCAATGTTTATCATAAGTAAAAATCAAGTAATAGTAACCTCCATGTTGACTATTTTTCGTCACCATCGAAATTTGCTTCGTTTTGTTGATAGCTATAAAACGAAATTCATCGTTCCTCTTTGTTTGATACTACTACATATGCTGTCTGTGAACAGTAAGGCCAAAGATATAACTTAATAGTAGTATTTGTTTTTATTACTCCTATGAAAAAGAAAGAAAATGTTAAATAAGTTTCTACAACAAATCAAAAAGTCAGTGCATTCGAGTGAGCCGAAGTCAAGATAATTATTTCCATTTTTTTTATCGTCGTACTACTTATGGCTCATTCTATATGTACTTTCTTACAGATCAAAATTAAACTAATAAGTCATTTTCTTACAAAAAGTGGTAACAACATTGAATTCTTATAAGAATTCATCTTAAATTATACCTCAACTAACTCCGATCTATGGAAATATGATTGTTCTTGCTCTAGGCATATACGGGATTAAAAAATCAAATACGTAAAAACGTATTAAACTTGTTAAACAAATATATATTTGTTCGAAAATATTCTTTCGCATTCTAAATCGATGAGAAAAGCTTTCTGAAAAAATCCTAAATGAATTCCTAACAGAGATCGAAATCAAATCGAATACATGTTAAATATATGTCCAATCTGGTGGAGTATTGAAGAACTATCTAGCAGTATGTTCTTTTAAATGCAATTCATATGATCAAATTATTCGATCTTTAAAAACGTTCAGTTCTATTATTTCAAATTAAGCTAAAGACAAGTTTGTAGAAAATTGAATTACACAATCTTTCAAAAAGAAATTCAAAATTTTATCTTTTCTCTAAATTTAGATATATATATAACACTAAATGTTGTAAAACTTTTGTGACACTCAGTAGAATCCTATTACAACGACTAGAAGCCGATTTTCATGAAAACTTACAAATAGATTTGTAAAAATCTTTCAGACTATCACATTAAGATCCACCATTCCAAATTACGGATAATATCCACAGATCCCTATGTTTTCCTATCGAGAGTTTCGATAGGATTAGCATTAGTCTTGCCAACATTTCTAAAGTAGAAAGCGTCAGATTCCCAAGATCTCCCACGAAATCCTGTCAAGTTTCCTCTATTTCACATGCATAAAAAACTTTCTTATGATCTTCTTCAAATCGTATCAGAATCATCCTTAAAACAGCTTGACATAAGTTCGTAAAAACCTACTAGAGTCACACCTATATCCTTCTCTATGCCAATAGGAATTTTGTCAGAACCATATAAAAAGCACTCTGAAAAATGCGTACTGTTAACAATAAGCATTTTTTTTCCCAAGAATTCGAAACTGTCATTCTTTGACATCCTCCTTACAAGATCTTGTTGAAATCTTCTGAGGTTTTTTCCAGTTTAGGAGTTTGACAGAGTTCATTATTTGATTGCTTACACCCTTTAAGGATTTAACCTTGCTAGTACTCGTTATTATAATTCTGCAAAGATTCTTCGTTTACTATTACGAGTCAGATTCCTATGTTTTTCTATCGAGATTCTAGAGAGGATTAGAATTGATCTTTCTCCAGGTGCTGTTTTCACCCATCGCGAAGACTATACTTTTTAGGATTTAAAAGATCTTGGTAGGAACTTAAACAAGTCCTTGCAAATACAGATTGTCATAGATTCTACTACGGATTTCTCCAGGAATGAACAAGATTGAGCTTTGAGGGAAGTGACATAGCTATAAGAATTGTTATAACAAGGTTTTCCAATTGATATCTGCTGGGAGAATCTTTTCTTGTTTAGAGTCTGTGAGAGAAGGACATTCTCGAAAGTTTACCAAGTTGCCTCAAAGAAGAAGAAGAAGAAGAAGAAGAAGAATGTCTCATTTTTAGCACTTTTCTCCGTGAGAGAAAGAGAGAGATCTCTTCTTCGACAACGATGATCCCTTTTCTTTTTTGTTCATTGTAGTGATTCCTAATATTCCAATCAATGCCCAATGGACACAGAATGGAGTGACCGTTGCTGGAGGCCATGGAAGAGGCAATGCCACCAATCAACTCTACTATCCTGAAAGTCTACTCATTGATAATGATCAAATCATGGTCATCGCTGACTCCAGCAATCATCGTATCATTCAATGGAAGATGGATGATACGAATGGACAAGTGATAGCTGGTGGCAATGGCGAAGGAAATAGGTTGGACCAATTGAATAATCCAACTAGTGTGTTGATCGACAAAGAGACTGATAGTCTCATTATTTGTGATCGAGAGAATCGACGAGTCGTGCGATGGTCTCGTCATAGTGGCACAACTCAAGGAGAAATTCTCATTGACAACATAACTTGTGAAGGATTGGCCATGGATGATCAGAGATATCTCTATATCTCAGACTCTAACAAACATGAAGTAAGGCGATATCAAATAGAAGACAAGAATGGAACCATCGTGGCCGGTGGTCATGGCAAAGATACTGGTCTTAATCAACTCAACTGGCCAACCTACCTCTTTGTCGATCAACAACAGACTGTTTACGTGTCGGACAACGTCAATCATCGTGTGATAAAATGGAATACAAGTGCAAAAGAAGGAATTATTGTCGCTGGGGGTCAAGGCCCAGCAAATGCTATGACACAATTGCAACATCCTCATGGATTGTTCGTCGATACATTGGGTACCCTCTATGTAGCAGACGCATTGAATCATCGAGTGATGCGTTGGCCTAAAGAAGCAAAACAGGGCACTGTCATTGTAGGTGGAAATGGTGAAGGAGCAGGAGCAAATCAGTTTAAAGGTACCACCGGTTTGTCCTTCGATCGACAAGGCAATCTCTATGTCGTCGATTGGGAGAATCATCGTGTTCAACGATTCTCTATCGAATAGACTCCTTACGACGGATTCATTTTTCTTTTCTTTCTCTGATATAAATCACGTTGGATTGATGAAAGGAATGGCTATTCTATTCGCGCGCGATTAGAAACCGTCTTAGTGGAGCTGTAGCGAGTATGAAGCTCACGCACACGCGGGACAGACTCAAATCATTCACACGACATGTGTCAAAGATTCTGGTGAAATCTCGGCCGTGTGAGTGTGGGATGATACGAGTGTCTGTATAGGAGTTCATCTTCCCTTCAGTCACACCCACATCCACACCTCACCCGCATTCACCAATACCTCATGCACACCCATACCCACGCTCCAATTTGTTGTTTAGATTGATCCGATGTAATATTTTGACCAGCCAAAGTGTTAACTTTATTTCTGTTTTTTGTCGAATAATCGGCGAATAACAAACCTTGATATAGATGAGGTGAAGATCAACGCATTTCATCAACCATACATTGTTGTTCAACCTACTTATAGGATCACTTCGGTACAAAATCTCCAGATTGAAAGCCTAACGAACGAAATATTATTCGAAAATAGTTTTCAGATTTCTTCATGTAATGCTAGATCCTTTCAATAGAAAAAACATATTATTTTTTTATTGAGAGAGACGTAACCTTGTAGATTTATAAGGGTTCGTAGAACAATGCAGTGTTAAATATAGTGAATTTTAAAAAAATCAGAAACATAAGTTGATCTAGTTTGACCTGTTACCAGCTCTGTTCTGAAATGGCCAATACACTTTTGACGAATAAACATAGATAAAAAATCCTAGCATCTGCGGCAAAAAATATAAAAAAATTAAATGTTATATGTAATCGAAGGTAGACATTAGTATTTGATTCTACACAGAACTGTGCACTAAAAGCAGATACAAGTACTTCATGCGGCATTGTACAGGTAATGATAACTATTAGTGGAATAAAAAAGTCTTCGTGTTTCTTTAACTATTGGCACCATAAGTCTAGTCCATTCACTTCTTTCTGCACCATTCAAGATAATTTTACATCGTATCATATGGCCAAGAACGATGACGATTGAGGGAACATGTAAAAATCATGGTATAACTGCATGAATGTACATACTAATAATGATGTCATCTACTAGTTTCCAGTTTACCTGCAATTGATGAAATTCACACAGATGCATTGTTGGTACAATTGGATTTGCTACAGTTTGCGCACCAATGAACTATGTTATATTTGCTGCTATCGTTAGAACTACTAGCAATAGTGACGTTATAATAGCGCATTTCCGTGAACGATAGATACTGAAATGAAAACACTGGATTAACACTCGTTCAACTGATACAAATGTAGCAGTCCATAAACACATGAATTGTATACAGTTTAAAGTTATCATACTCAAACGACAATGAATTAAACTATTTCGGTCTAATCCTTCGTTAAAATACAATGTGAGAACAATTCGTATATAAAATATTAAAATTTGTTTTCGTAATAAAGTTCCAATCATTAATAAGTTGCAAATGATAGACATTGTGAATTGTATTGTAGCCAGCGGTACATAAATTACTTCCAATGCTAGCTGCCATTCTGATGACGTCTGTCGAAGTATATCGACTGATATTGACGGTGATATTGAAAAGCATAGATAATTAATTGATTGAGTTCTATTACATGTAATAAGAACAGGAGTGTGTTAGACATTTTTCTTGACCTACGAATGAGAAAATATACACACACATACATAAAAGGGTTGTTTCTTTGTTACATTACCATCAATTTTATATGAGGTAAAGAACAAAATACTGAGATAATGATTCAATGATTTATATAGTTCAAGAAAGGAAAAAACTAAAACGGTCTCTTTTATTATAAGATTACAAAAAACGATTAACTTCTTCTGCTTATGTGTGCGATTTCACATGCTTTTATTTTTGACTGTGTAATCGACCGATAAATCAACTATATACAATCACATTCATTCGAAGAAACATAGTAGGCACGAATATCGGCTCTTATATTGATGACAATTCATTGAGAATTATATGAATGGTTGCTTTTCCTTTTTCTACACTGATAAGATCATTTTCTTATCCATCACATGGTCGAAAATGTTTACAAGGTATATCTTCAATAAATAATATTGGTAAACATCGACAACGAACTACAACATATAATCCGGTTTTTAATGAATCAAGCTAATCAATAGACATTGGTTTTTTTTGTACGAATGTTTTCCTTATTCTATATCATTTTTTATTTACGTATAGATAAATAAATATATCGATTTCAGTGCATATAATGAAATCTTACTATCAATCTTAAGACAATCATTGAATTTTGAATAATGCGGATTTTCCTGACTTAAATATTGTTTCTTTATTTCCAGATTAAATAAAATAATATCCTTCATACAAGCTCAAATTATAAGAAGATAATGAATCATCAGGACAGCCAACGTTGACAATCAAACCTTTTTTTGAATAAATGATTTTTTCAATTTAAAATTGATTAAAAAAAATCAAACAAAATCAACTCTTTTTCCCTTAAACGGAACATATATCAAATTATCAACGTGCGTGTATTTAATGACTATTACGATTGATTACTAATTTTAATCGTACTACTATCTTATCTTTCATTGAATGACATCAAGAAATACTTCATCTTTTCACTTTCTTTTTTATGTCTTTTTTCACTTATTTAGTATTATTGTATTCCTAGCCTTGGTAAGTTTTCTTATACTATCCATGTGCGAGGTAGTCTAATGAACTTCATCCATTCATTGATAAAAATAAATTCTTTACATTTTATTAATTTAAATTATTGAAAAATTCCTAAAATAGTGCATGACGGTGTTATTTAAAAGTTTCTCGTCTATAGTAAAAGGTGTAGATCTGAAATTTCATAGCCATTTAGTACTAAATAGATATAATTATCTGTCAAAATTGCAAAAAGTTGACTTCTATTGAATGCACGAAAGATGAATTTCAATATAGTCTTGAAGAATTAGTCTGATTAAAATTTATGCATAGTATAAACTACTTAATATATTTCATAAGAAGAAAACGGTGATTGAATCATTAATTAGTTTCAATATGAAAGTCGTTACTTGATTTGATTGAGCGTTTTTTGATAGATGAAATATTTTTTTGAAGCACTATTTATTTTAATTTTATGAAAGTAATCGAGAGCGATGGTTTACATAAGCGATACAAGCTTTCGTCAATTGATTTTGTTCATTAAAATTTCTCTCTTGATAACAATATAAATCTTAATCAAGTGATGAAGTTTGCTTGATCCTCTTTTGATATGACATTTATTCATTATGACATCGTTGCACACGAGGCATATAAACATATAAATCATTGCTATCATTTTAATAAAAAAATAACAAATAAAATAGAGTCGTTAAGCCTCTGATGTATGCTTGTAGTTGGTATAGACATGAGTAATAAAGCAAAAAAAATAATAATATTCATTCGTGTGTATCCATTCGACCGAAAAATATTATTATTCATATACAATCTATAATAGTATAATTAGACGAAAATAGAAACAGAGCAAGGCTAAATAAAAAATATATGGAGGAAAATTTCGAGCAATTAGTTGCTGAATTTAACGTATCTCCTTTATCTTCTGATGTTCTTCAAAAAATAACGTTGCTTCTTCAATCAAAAACTGATGAAGCATTATCATCGTTCATCTCACAAGAATATCAATCGTTATTTACCTTGGAACACAAGGTATGGCAATTACTTAGTGAAGATTCTCATCATTGGTTTAATGACTTAGACTATTCAGTATTTTTTCGAACACTTGTTTCATTCAACAAAAATATGATTTTTAATCAGGATAGTATTAAAGATCATATTAAAGTTTCACTTCTTATGCCTAATACGATTGATCAAATTAATAGTATATTCAAGCAAATCGAACAAACTATTGATGATAATGATCCATTAATTACTTTTGTTAGCCTCTGGTTTGATAATTTGTCATTTTTTATACATGAATATCCTCAATTAGGTCATTCACCTATTATCATTCAAATGAATAAATATGTTGCAGATCATTTTATTATAAGTGAACAATTCAATTTTTATCTAAGTCAACTACGACAATCACAATTATCATCATCAATATTTACTACTAAACAACTTTTCTATATGAAAACATGTTCATTTTCTTTGAATGTCTACTTTTATAGTAATCCTCCAAGTTTTGATTATACTCCTGGTCAAGTTCTTCAAAATATTGGTGATGAATATTTACAAATAATACAAATTCAAAGTTACACTATTAAGTTATGGAGCACAGAATTACTTACTTGTATGACTCATTTGATTGGTTTTATACGTGCATTTCTTTGGTGGAATGGAGAAACTGGAACAAAATTGAAAATACTTTTACCGACAGAAAAAATATTACTTGAATATACACAAGCAATGGTTTATATTATTGATTATAAGGCAGATTGTGCATATATTATGCCACAATGGATTAATGATGAAACTATTCTAATGGATTCTGTTCTACTTTTTTTAATAAATATAATACAAACACAAAATATTAATTGGTTCTTTCATCCGATGAATCAATTATCAGACACGCTCTTGAAATTAGGTGAACTACCCGTATATTATCAAATACATTTGTGTGCTTATGGAATATTAAGTGAAATTCTTACTGATGAACATTTAAAAGAATTGAAATTTCCTGATAATATAAGAGATTTTTTCTTTCAAATGCTTGAACATGCATGGCATAATCCTTTAAAAAGATGCAAACAAATACCAATTACTTATTTCTTACGAGGTAAGTTTATCAAGAAAAAAAATATTTTCTTCACTCTAAATGAAAATTTTCTACAACTTTATTTTTCCTATATTCATTACGTTTATTCATATTCATACGAGAAAAGTCTTTTAACTGATTAATTGCTTTGGATTCTGAACTACATAATTATGTGAATTCTAATGAACTCTGAATATCCTTAAAACAATTCAGGTTCTTGGTTTGTTGCGACGAAGATACTGTATTTTTAGCATAATGCTACGATCACCTCAGGAATACTAGGAAAATTCATTTTCGAATGTCGACTTAACTTTACATAGAGACAGATTTTACCGAGAATAGTTTATTGTGAAAGTTTCAAATCTTTTAATTTGCTTCTATCCTGATGTAAGAACGTCGAAATCTGCTGGTGTATAAGAGCAACATAAACGATAAGATTTTGCCGTAGCTGTGTATCTCTGGATAAGAACAACGAAAACATCTGAAACTTTCGTAATAAACTGTTGTTGGTGACACTTGTTTCTATAGAAAGTTTCAAGTCAAAATTCGAAAACAAATTTTCCTAGCGTTCCTGAGAACATCGCAGCATAAATTCTAAAAATGCATTATCTTGGCAGCAATAAGCTAAGAGTTCAACATCTTTTCAGAATATTCATATCTCATTAGAATCTACAGGATATACATAGTTTCGACTCAAAAGTAATTAATCCGTTGGGAGATTTCCATCGGTAGATCAATTGTTTCATAGTATACAACACATTTTAGCGGAACAAGAAAAAAAGTATAGTTTGAAAGACAGCCTTCACCAAATTGATCTGCGTTCATAGACTCATCGTCATATTAACTGATTCGAAAGCGAATCAATATCTT